AAGAAGCAACGCAACGAAGAGTTGGTTCTTTGAGAATATCAACAAGATAGACAAACCTTTGTCCAAACTTACCAAACAGCAGAGAGTGAACACGCAAATTAACAAAATTAGAAATGAAAAGGGGGACATAACAACAGACTCTGAGGAAATCCAGAGAATCATTAGGACATACTTTGAAAATCTGTACTCCACAAAATTCGAAAATTTAAAGGAAATGGATGACTTCCTGGACAGCTATCAATTGCCAAAACTAAATCAAGAACAGATAAGCAATTTAAATAGACCTATAACCCCTATGGAAATAGAAGCTGTCATCAAAAGTCTCCCAACCAAAAAAAGCCCAGGTCCAGATGGCCTCAGTGCAGAATTCTACCAGAAATTCAAAGAACAGCTTATACCAATTCTTCTCAAAGTGTTCCACACAATAGAAGCAGAAGGGTCTTTGCCAAACTCTTTCTATGAGGCGTCAATAACCTTGATCCCCAAGCCACACAAAGATACAACTAAGAAAGAGAACTTCAGACCAATATCCCTCATGAACATTGATGCAAAAATACTCAATAAAATACTGGCAAATCGGATCCAAGAACACGTCAAAACAATCATTCACCACGATCAAGTAGGTTTCATCCCAGGAATGCAGGGATGGTTCAACATACGAAAATCCATCAACGTAATCCACCATATAAACAAGCAGAAAAACAAAAATCACATGATCATCTCACTAGATGCTGAAAAAGCCTTTGACAAAATCCAACACCCCTTCATGATAAAGGTCTTGGAGAGATCTGGGATAACAGGGACATACTTAAACATAATAAAAGCTATATACAGTAAACCAACAGCCAACATCAAACTAAATGGACAGAAACTCAACGCAATTCCTCTAAAATCAGGAACAAAACAAGGCTGTTCACTCTCTCCATACCTTTTCAACATGGTACTTGAAGTTCTAGCTATTGCCATACGACAACAAAGGGGGATCAAGGGGATACAAATTGGGAAGGAAGAGGTCAAACTTTCACTGTTTGCAGACGATATGATAGTTTACATCAATGACCCAAAGAACTCTACCAGGGAACTCTTACAGCTGATTAACACCTTCAGCAAAGTGGCAGGCTACAAGATCAACTCAAGAAAATCAGTAGCCCTACTATATACAGATGATAAAAGGGCTGAAAGAGAAATCAGAGAAACATCACCCTTTACAATTGCCACAAACAACATAAAATACCTTGGGGTAACGCTAACCAAACAAGTGAAAGACCTGTATCGTAAGAACTTTGAATCTTTAAAGAAAGAAATTAAAGAAGCCCTCAGAAAATGGAAAGATCTCCCATGCTCTTGGATAGGTAGGATCAATGTAGTAAAAATGGCAATCCTGCCAAAAGCAATCTACAGATTCAATGCAATCCCCATTAAAATCCCAGCACAGTTCTTCACAGACCTTGAAAGAACAATAATCAATTTTGTATGGAAAAACAAAAGACCCAGGATAGCCAAAACAACCCTGTTCAACAAGGCAACGTCCGGAGGCATCACCATCCCTGACCTCAAGCTATATTATAGAGCTATAGTCCTGAAAACAGCTTGGTATTGGCACAAAAATAGACAGGTAGACCAATGGAATCGAATTGAAAATCCGGGTATTAACCCACACACGTACGAACATCTGATCTTTGACAAAGAAGCTAAAAATATACAATGGAATAAAGAAAGCATCTTCAACAAATGGTGCTGGCATAATTGGAGACTGGCATGTAGAAGAATGCAGATCAAGTGGATGGTACCCTTGAACGAATTGGTACAGGAGACAGCTTCCTGAACATAACACCAGTAGCACAGGCAGTAAGATCAACAATTAATAAATGGGACCTACTGAAACTGAGAAGCTTCTGTAAGGCAAAGGACACAGTCAGCAAGACAAAAAGGCAGCCCACAGAATGGGAAAATATATTCACTAATCCCACATCTGACAGAGGGTTGATCTCCAAAATTTACAAAGAACTCAAGAAGCAAGTCTCCAAAACACCAAAGGACCCTATTAAAAAGTGGGCTGCAGAACTAAATAGAGAGTTTTCAATAGAGGAGTCCAAAATGGCTGAGAGGCACTTGAGAAAGTGCTCAACATCCTTAGCCATCCGGGAAATGCAAATCAAAACAACTCTCAGATACCATCTCACCCCTGTCAGAATGGCTAAAATCAAAAACACCAATGACAATTTATGCTGGAGAGGATGTGGTGAAAGGGGGACACTCCTCCATTGCTGGTGGGAGTGCCAACTGGTTCAACCACTTTGGAAATCAGTGTGGAGATTCCTCAGAAAAATGGGCATAAACCTACCACAAGACCCAGCAACTCCACTCTTAGACATATATCCAAAAGATGCCCATTCATACAACAAAGATGTCTGTTCCACTATGTTCATAGCAGCTTTATTTGTAATTGCCAGAACGTGGAAGCAACCTAGATGTCCCTCACCTGAAGAGTGGATAGAGAAAATGTGGTACATCTACACAATGGAGTACTATTCAGCAGAAAAAAATAATGGAATCATGAGATTCGCAGGCAAATGGATGACACTAGAAGAAACCATCCTGAGTGAGGTAACCCAGTCACAAAAACATAAACATGGTATGTACTCTCTCATATATGGATTTTAGACATAGATCTGGGGAGTGCCAGCCTACAATCCTATGGCCAGAGAGTCTGGGAAACAGAAACTTTATTTAGTGGCTGATCGAAGAAGAGGCAGACTCCCTTGGTTAAGTACTGAGCTGAACTCAAGAAAGCCAGTAACAGAGAGGGAGGACTGATGATCAAAGGGATTAAGACTGGGCTGGTTTAACCCCCAGAAACAGCTGACCAGACAAAGGTTAACTCTTGAATCCCAGGCATCAGCCTGGGAATCCAGCATGGGACTGATCAAGACCCCCTGAATCTGGGTGTCAGTGAAGAGGCCTAGGTAATCTATTGAGCCTTGGGCAGCAGATCAGTACCCATCCCAAGTATACACACGGACTTTGGACTCCCATAGAACAATGTGAGGTGCACTCTCACCCTGAACTCTTGGGGAAGGGTCTAGGCCCTGCCCTATATGAAATGACACACTATGCACACCCCCATGGAGGGCCTCACCCTCCCTGGAGAAATGAGGGGATAACGGGGGGGGGGGGGAGGGCACGGGAGGAAGGGAGGTAATGGGAGAGGGACCTGGAACTGACTTGTGAAGCAACCTTGTTTCTTATCTAAATTTAAACTGGAAAATAAAATTAAAAAAAAAAGAAGCTAGACCAGATCATCCAATCCCCTGGAACTGGATACAAATGATTATGAGTTGCCATGAGGGTTGTAGATAATTGTGAGTTGCTGTGAGGGCCCAAAGCCTGGTCCTCTGAAAGAGTGGTTAGTGCCGTTAGCCATTGAGACATCTCTCTAACCCCTAGCATTTCATTTCTTTGGAATGATTGTGAAGATGATTGTGTGCTTCATGTGGTCTTACCTACTCTCAGTTACCTTAGATATGCACCCAAATATCTGTTTATTTATGTTGTATCTTACAAAGGTGTTTGCACTCACATTAAAAAAGTTGAGCATGGCCATAAGTGCAATAACTCCAGCACTCAGGACAGAAATATGTGGATCCCAGGAGCTCACGCCAGCCAGCCTAGATGAAACAGTGAACTTCAGATTCTATGAAAGACCCTGTCTCAAGGAAATAAATCAGTGTCAGAGTAGGACATCCACCTCCTGCCTCTGCACAAACACACATGGATACACACATGCATGAATGCAATGAAAAATGCAGAAACAGTGATTTTCTCTAAATTTATTATGTTGAATTCAATGTTGATACCACAGGTAAATTTTTTCGTGTATAAACATCAAACACAAAATATGTTCATTAAAATACAGAATGACAAGGATATTCATTTTGTACAAACACATTTTCTTTTTATTTAAAAACATTTTTTCATTTTGCATACCAAGTCCAGTTTTCCCTCCCTCCCCTCCCCCTGCCCAATCCACTCCACAGAGAGGGCAAGGCCTTCCTTATGGAGTCAACCAAATCTGGGATACCAATTTGAGGCCAGACCAAGCCCTCCCCTCATTATCAAGGCTGAACAAGATATCCCACCATAGGAAATGGGCTCCAAAAAGCCAGTTCATGCACCCAGGATAAGTTCTGGTGCCACTGCTATCCCTCCCAGATCAAATTTTGTAACTGTCACCCAATTCAGATGGCCTAGTTTGTTCCCAAGCAGGTTCCCCAGCTGTCAGTCCAGAGTCCATGAGCTCCCACTAGCTCAGGTCAGCTGTCTCTGTGATTTTCCCCGACATGGTCTTAACAGCCCCTTGTTCATGTGATCCCTCCTCCCTCTCTTCAACTGAACTCCAGGAGCTCAGCCCAGCAAAGTATGTGTTTTCATGGGCATAAGATTCAACAAGGTAGTCTACCATAAAGTGGGAGGTATGATCATCTACACCAAAAGAAAATCGTTAAGAAAAAAAGAATTTACATAGAATTGCATTGTTTCTTTCAAATAGATTCCTTCAAGTACTGTTACTGTCTCCTCAAATCACTTTTATCACCCCTTTATCAAGAAGTTCATTTTATGAATACATGTAAATATAAACTGTCCTGTGCTTCATAAGGCCACCAGCTGCCATCAGTTCCTTTCTACTTGGCACAGGCTAGAGGAATGTTCTAGGTCTCGTTGCTATCTAGTCCCCCTGAAACAGTGGTTTCCCCAGTTATGTGGAACTTCTGTAGAACAAGAATGCTAGATTATAAAGTTTAAAGCTGCATGCATTGGCTGGGTACCACCTCCACCCTCCCAGGGGGTGAAGCCTTTGAGATAAATATTGATTGAACATGTTAACATAACCAACTATACAGTCACAAATATTTTTAAATAAATAATACCTGGGGTTTTTTAATAATTGTAGAGTTCTCCAGACTTATATATGGCAACATCTCTTTCTCTTTGGATTCTAGGTGTTCGGTCCAGTGGGATTTTTGAAAAAATCAATCACCTTATCTGAGAATGAAGAATGGAAGAGATTAAGAGCATTGCTGTCTCCTACCTTCACCAGTGGGAAGCTCAAGGAGGTAATGAAGTAATGAGCTCATCACTGGAGACACGAGGAACAGATCTGGGGACAGGGAGAGTGGAAGATCACAGCCCTTTCCAAGTAGCGTTCTCTGAGTTGAAACTTCCTTAAGAGTGTCCTTTTGTGTTAGTGGGACCTCTTGCTTTGTCCTTGGGAAAGCTGCGTCCACTGGGAACTGAGCCCCTCATCTCACTGTGGATGGCTTTGTGTTCTGTGTGTAGATGCTCCCCATCATTAACCAGTATGCAGATGTGTTGGTGAGAAACATGAGGCAGGGAGCAGAGAGTGGAGATCCCATCAACATGAAAGAGTAAGTGCTACAGCATTCATTAGAAGCTGAATCGCATGAATTACATTTCTCTTTTTGTGACAAAATACTCCAACAGCAGCAACTGGACAGAGAAAGGTTTCGCTTTGGCTTACAGTTCCGTGGGGCGTGGCAGGAAGACATGGTGGCATGGGCAGGAGGTTAGCTGGTCACACTGCTTCTGACACCCAAGAAACAGGGAACCCAGCCTATATAGAGCCAAGATCTGGCTGTGGCAGTCTACTTCCTCTAGCGAGGATCCACCTCCTAAGGCTCAGAGCCTTCCAAGACAGGGCTGTGAGCTCAGAGCCAAGTGTTCAAATGCATGAGCCAATGGGGGTGCATTTCATATGCAAATCCAGATACTGTAACTGCCTACTCTCACCTCAGGAATCAGACCGCCATGAGTTGTTGGTGATACAACTGACTACAAACACTCGGTCTTCTTCTGAGGCTGAGACCAGTAGAAACTGGAAACCTTGTCACAGCTGTATGATTGTACTACGCCATCCAAGAAAAAGGGTACTTCTTTAGATGAAAGCAACGATTAATCTCTCTAACTCTTGTTATTTGGGAAGTTCTAGAAAAAGGGCACTTCTTTAGATGAAAGCAACGATTAATCTCTCTAACTCTTGTTATTTGGGAAGTTCTAGAAAAAGGGCACTTCTTTAGATGAAAGCAACGATTAATCTCTCTAACTCTTGTTATTTGGGAAGTTCTAGAAAAAGGGCACTTCTTTAGATGAAAGCAACGATTAATCTCTCTAACTCTTGTTATTTGGGAAGTTCTAGAAAAAGGGCACTTCTTTAGATGAAAGCAACGATTAATCTCTCTAACTCTTGTTATTTGGGAAGTTCTAGAAAAAGGGCACTTCTTTAGATGAAAGCAACGATTAATCTCTCTAACTCTTGTTATTTGGGAAGTTCTAGAAAAAGGGCACTTCTTTAGATGAAAGCAACGATTAATCTCTCTAACTCTTGTTATTTGGGAAGTTCTAGAAAAAGGGCACTTCTTTAGATGAAAGCAACGATTAATCTCTCTAACTCTTGTTATTTGGGAAGTTCTAGAAAAAGGGCACTTCTTTAGATGAAAGCAACGATTAATCTCTCTAACTCTTGTTATTTGGGAAGTTCTAGAAAAAGGGCACTTCTTTAGATGAAAGCAACGATTAATCTCTCTAACTCTTGTTATTTGGGAAGTTCTAGAAAAAGGGCACTTCTTTAGATGAAAGCAACGATTAATCTCTCTAACTCTTGTTATTTGGGAAGTTCTAGAAAAAGGGCACTTCTTTAGATGAAAGCAACGATTAATCTCTCTAACTCTTGTTATTTGGGAAGTTCTAGAAAAAGGGCACTTCTTTAGATGAAAGCAACGATTAATCTCTCTAACTCTTGTTATTTGGGAAGTTCTAGAAAACAAAGTTTGTTTAGAAAGAAGTATAATGATTTAAAATCATGTTTGTTAGTGTAGAGTTCATGGGAAATAGACTGCAAAGAAAGAATTTGGCTCACATTGGGACACTGTGTGTGCATCATGGAAGTTAAAATGGAGAACTTAGAGCAATTTATATCTCATCCTGGGCTTATGAAGAATATCAGTAAAACAGTACATCTTGCCTAGAATCAGTGAGATGGCTCAGTGGGTAAAGGAGCTTGCCACCAAACCTGAGGACCTGACTTTGATCCACAGGACCCACATAGAGGAAAGAGAGAACTGACTCCCGCAAGAAGTTGTCTTCTGAATGCATGCCATGGTACAAGTGTGCCCACACACACACTCACTCACACACACTCATTCACACACACATACCACAAGAGCAGGTGCACACACACAAGTTTCACCCAGAGTCAATAAATGAAAAAATGTAACCATTCCACTCTTTCTCTTTTATCCCATTTCTAAAGAGTGAAGTCGCTGTAAGCCTATAGGCATTGCCATCAGATCGTTTTCTTGAATAAACTCAGTGCTTCTTGTCAAGAAACACTGATATAACATTCAACCCTCCTGGTAAATGAGGAACATGTGGGCACATAAGTAGAGCGAATTTTTTGTGTTTTACCAGGAATGTCGTTGGTTTTCACAACTTGCAGCAATACTTCTGCCCTCGGAGCACTGTCAGCTTCCTAGGGCTGGGGAACGGCTGATCTGTCAGTGCCTTGAGTATGGGGTGTGCTCCAGGGAATTCGTAGCAGTTGTTATGTATTGTACTGAAGACAAATTGGCTTTGGCCACAGATACCAGTGACACACCGATACCAGACACAATGTCCTCTTTCCTAGTCCCCTGGGCATAGAGAAGCATTCCACGTTGTTCTGGTGAGGTATGGTATTTCCAGACTCATCACCACCCACACTCCATTCACTGATGCTGTTTGTCTGGTGCTAGGTCTGTCTCTTCCTGGCCCTCTATGTCTCCTGATGTCTATTCTAATTTTATATATATTTCTGTGATAAAATACCCTGAAAAGAAAGAAAGTCTGGGGGAAAGAGTTCATAATATCTCACAGTTCCAGGTTGCAGTCAATGTCATTACAGGGGAGTTAAGGCAGGAGCTTGAAGCCTCAGTCAAGAACACAGATAAAGACATCCACGCTTGTGCTCAGTTCACCTTTAATACCCTTATGCAGTCAGGGACCCAAACCCAGAGGAAAGTACTGCTCAAGGCAATACCTCACAGACATGCCCAAATGCCAGCTAGAGGCAGACACCTTTACACTGCGAATCTCTTCCCAGATGATTCTGGATGTTGTCAAGGTGACAACTAAAACTAACATGTTTCCATGTCACAGCTCATCACAAAAAATGGTGGTAGCACTGTCATCTATAAACTTCACACTGAAACGCAGGATGGAGGCCAACATGTGGGGCACTGGCCGTGTCTGCCTTGCCTGGGCTTATGAGTTTACTCCCAAGGGATCCATTATTATGTTAGAAGGAATAAGAGGATATACAGATGTTAATTTCCATGTCTCTCTCTACTCAGCATCTTTGGAGCCTACAGCATGGATGTGATCACCGGCACATCATTCGGAGTGAATGTCGATTCCCTCAACAACCCACAAAATCCCTTTGTACAAAAAGTAAAGAAGCTCATAAAATTTAATTTCTTGGACCCATTCTTCCTCTCAGTGAGTACGTGAACTAACATTTCATTATTTCTGTTCTCTCCCATGTTCATTGTTTGATGGCTTCATACATTTTATAATGGATTTCAGTCATTTGTATTCCCCCAATCCTTTCTCTCTTCTTCTCCCTCTCCTGCTGGTGGTAACTTCTTACAGTTTTGTGAAACTTATCTCACATCCATTGAACATGGCCCACTTAAATGTGCCGATTCATGGCTTTAGGAGTAAAGATATTCACGGTCATCATTATCGTCAGCTATGGAATCTTTTCACAACTCCCAAATCCTGTACATTTAGCCATCAGCTCCCTGCCTTCATCAGGCGTAAGCAACCAGCAATCTAGTTTCTAATTTCTTGGAAAATGGAATTGTATAATTTATCACCTTTTGTGTCTAGTTCCCTATATGTTTTCAAAAGATCCTGTATCTTTTTTTTTGAAATTCAAAACTCATTTATTGAACGAATAGTATATGCAAGAATACCAATAAAAGGAAACTAATACTACAAACTACAATTTTGAAAGTAAAGCCAATATAACAGGAACAAAATATACATAACATGTGAGGAATGTTTGATTTTTGACCCATGACGCATTCCTTATCTTTACAATGAACTTAGATGTCTATTAAAACAAAACTGTGCCTTGGTCTAACTTCAGTGCTTCTTCAAAAAGCAACAACATTCTACACCACTTCTGCTTTGAGATATTCGAGATTCACACATTTGTTCAAGTACATAGATTCGATTCAATAGCACATCTCTAGATCATGTTACTCTGTTAGTATCTTGAGTAGTGTATACCGAACAAGTACCACCTCAAGTTGGAGACTGCTGATCCTGGAAATGAAATTTACTTCAGGTGTGGGTTTTTAAACAATGAGATGAAAGTAAAACTCCCCCCTCCACCCAGGAATTTATTAAAGTATAGAAACGCAAGTCTACCCTTCTACTCTAATGAACATTTCCTACTAACATTTCTGGTAAGGCAATAAATGCTCCAGAATAATCTTCAATATACGCTTGCAAAGATTACATGTTTTAATATTAATAATGAAAAAAGAATAAAACAAAGAAAAACGAGAAAAAAGACGCATCAAAAATTCAGGCTAAAATACGCATTAGACAGCAATGGCAGTATTTTTGGCATTGATGTAAATGCCATATATTTACCAAAGAATGTCATGCTTATTAAAACTACAGTTAAGGAATTAAGAGATGTACAGTAAATACACTGCTGAGGTCCATTTATCTAAATAGTAATACCACAATGTAATTGCTAGCCAAGTGATAAAGATGCTACTTGGGAACATAAGTACTGTACAATTTTTACATTGTAAGGCACTTTTACTCAGCATAGAAGGAAAACAGGAGCAAAGAATCAAAATATTGGAAGTTGACACCCAAACATGAGTTTTTAATGTGACTTCAGTTTTAAATGAAGGTTATTTAGCCAATCACACCACAGTGAGAAAAACAGGTAGTCAGCCACCTATCTAACCAACCAAAAGGTAAAGTGCGTTTCTGGTTGCTAGTGGCAGAGAAAGGGCTGAAGAAACCCATACAAAGTCAAACAGTTACTACAAATCAAATCCATCAGCTGACAGCTAGAGTATTTGAAGTCCTGTATATAATTATTGACTGGCCAGAATTACCCCTGGTACCTTCCATTTTTCTTTAAAAAATCATTACAGTAGTTGTCCAAAAATGAAGGAGCTCTATTTCTCCACGGGTAAGTTCTATGGCACACAATGTAAAAATTACCTAGACACAGTGATTTAAAGATTTAAAAAATAATGTTTTCAAGCTGTTGTAAGGAAATAAAGTACAGATCCTTTGGAAAAAGTCGCATCGATTGGTAAACAAACTGTGATCTGTCCTTGCACTTCAAGTCATGATGAACCTTGAAAGTAATCACATACACATCATGGCATATTAAGAGCGAAAGGAGAAGACATACAAGGCAATCCACTACTAAAGCTAGTTTCCTTCTAAAGTAACAATAAAACATGGTTAAAATAAAGCAAGCATTGAGTCCCTTGATTTAAGGAAATGTGTAAATACACACTTCAACAAACATGATCTTAAGGGACTAGCAGTTTAAAAATTCAGTCAATAAGCACAGTGTAATTTTCCACCTGTTACATTTAAAAATGCTGTTCAACCAGCTGCAGAATAGATCAATGTATGGTAAAGTTAGTATGGTGTTTCTTGTTTGCAAATCTGGTTCATTGTGGTAGGTTAACTAATTAATTCAGAACTCAGAATCCCTACCTTTCATACTGAGGTACTATGGTAATATTAGGCAGACCACAACGAGGTTTTTGGTTTTGCCATAAAGAAATATATAAATGTGCTTCAGCAGGTAAGTGGAAGAGTGCCACTAGCAAGAGACGCCAGTGGAGATTCTTTCTAAAAATCTGGTGATTAAGAAAACCCTTCTGAAGACCCCAACCCCAGCGAGTCCGGCTTCAGGTGAGATTGGGTCTCCTGCGGGGACCGCCCGCCAATCACCCATCCCCCTTGATCTTCCCGGCCGCTCCTGGCATCCAGAAGACACGCCCACACAGGAAAGACATCAGCCCTACCAGGACCCAAACTCCGTGTCAGCATTCCCAACTTCAGCTGCAGGAAGGAAGGAGACCAGTGGAGATGGAAAGACCCCACCAGCACCCACTGAAAGAAGAGATGGGAAGAAGACAGAATAAGAGATCACTCAGCAATAGAAACACCAACATGACCCCACCAGAATCCAGGGATCCAACACCAGCAAGACCCGAAAAGCACTACATAGACGAAGAAGAGGAGACAGACCTTAAAAATTATTTCATGAAGATGATGGAGACCCTCAAAGAAGAAATGAGGAAATCCCTTAAAGAAATAGAAGAAAAAACAAACAAAAAATCCATGAAATGGGGGGAAAATTTCAAGAAATAATCAAATCTCTCAAAGAATCTAAAGAGCACCAAGAAAGAACAACCAAAAAAATTAAGGAAACAACTCAAACAGTTGAAGGATTGAAAGCTGAAATAGAAACGATAAAGAAAACACAGAATGAAGGGATGCTGGAAATAGAAAACGATCAGGAACTACTGATGCAATTATCACCAATAGAATACAAGAGATAGAAGAGAGAATCTCAGGTGTTGAAGACTCATTAGAGGATATAGAGTCGTCAACCAAAGAAAATCTCAAAACCAACAAATCCTTAACACAAAATATCCAGGAAATATGGGACACCGTGAAGAAGCCAAACCTGAGAATAATCGGTATAGAAGAAGGCGAAGAAATACAACTCAAAGGTACAGGAAACGTATTCAACAAAATCATAGAAGAAAACTTCCCTAACCTAAAGAAAGATATGCCTATGAAAGTACAAGAATCTTACAGAACACCAAATAGGCTGGACCAGAAAAAGAAGTCACCTCGCCATATAATAATTAAAACATCAAACCTACAGAGTAAAGAGAAAATATTAAGAGCAGCTAAAGAAAAATGCCAAGTAACATACAAAGGCAGACCTATCCGAATTACACCTGACTTCTCAATGGAAACGATGAAAGCCAGAAGATCCTGGACAGATGTCCTACAAACGCTAAGGGAACAAGGATGCCAGCCCAGACTACTATATCCAGCAAAGCTCTCAATTACCATAGATGGAGAAAACAAAATATTCCATGACAAAGCCATATTTAAACAATACGTATCCATGAATCCAGCTCTACAGAAAGTGCTAGAAGGAAAACCTAGAGCCAAGGAAGATAACTACATTCAAAAAGACACAGGCAATATATAATCACACTTTACAAAACACCAAAAAAAAGGGAGGAGAAACTACACAAAATAACTTCACTAACAATAAATCAAGCACAAGCAAGGATCACCAATCAATGGTCATTAATATACCTCAATGTCAACGGCCTCAACTTGCCTATAAAAAGACACAGACTAGCAGAATGGATACGAAGACAGAACCCTTCCTTCTGCTGCATACAAGAAACACATCTCAACATCAAAGACAGACGTTATCTCAGAGTAAAGGGTTGGGAAAAGATCTTCCAATCAAACGGTCCCAAGAAACAAGCGGGTGTAGCAATCCTAATATCTAACAAATTAGACTTCAAATTAAAATCAATCAAAAGAGATGAAGAAGGACACTTCATATTCATCAAAGGAAAAATACATCAAGACGAAGACTCAATTTTAAACATCTACGCCCCAAATACAAAGGCACCTACATTTGTGAAAGAAACATTACTAAAGCTCAAAATGCACATAAAATCTCACACACTAATAGTAGGAGACTTCAACACTCCGCTCTCACCGCTAGACAGGACCTCCAGACAGAAACTTAGCAAAGAAACAAAAGAACTAATAGAAGTTATGACCCAACTGGGTTTAACAGACATCTATAGAACATTCCACCCAAATACAAAGGTGCCTTCGTCTCGGCACCACATGGAACCTTCTGTAAAATTGACCACATAATAGGAAACATAGCAAATCTCCACAGATACAAAAAAATTGGAATAACCCCCTGCATCTTATCAGACCACAATGCATTAACATTAGAATTCAACAATAACACAAATCGCAGAAACCCCACAAACTCATGGAGATTGAACAATGCACAATTGCACCATCCCTGGGTAAAGGAACAAATAAAAAAAGAAATTAAAGACTTCCTCGATTTCAATGAGAATGAAGACACAACATACACAAACTTATGGGACACTTTGAAAGCAGTGCTGAGAGGAAAGTTTATAGCACTAAGTGCCCACATGAAAAAACTGGAGAACAGTCATACTAGAGAATTAATAGCACAGCTGAATGTTCTAGAACAAAAAGAAGCAAACTCCACCAGGAGGAGCAGACGCCAGGAAATAATCAAATTGAGGGCTGAAATCAATCAAGTAGAAACCAGGAAAACACTGAGAAGAATCAATGAAACAAAGAGTTGGTTCTTTGAGAAAATCAACAAAATAGATAAACCTCTGTCCAAACTAACCAAAAGACAGAGGGAGAGCATGCTAATTAACAAAATCAGGGATGAAAATGGGGACATAAAAACAGACTCTGAGGAAATCCAGAGAATCATCAGGGCATACTTTGAAAATCTTTACTCCACAAAATTTGAAAATTTAAAGGAAATGGACAATTTCCTGGATAGATATCACTTGCCAAAACTAAATCAAGAACAGATAAACAATCTAAACAGACCTATAACCCCTAATGAAATAGAAGCAGTCATCAAAAGTCTCCCAAAGAAAAAAAAGCCCAGGCCCAGATGGCTTCAGTGCAGAATTCTACCAGAAATTCAAAGAAGAGCTAATTCCAATACTCCTCAAAGTATTCCACACAATAGAAGCAGGAAGCTCACTGCCAAACTCTTTCTACGAGGCTACAATTACCTTGATACCCAAGCCACACAAACACACAACTAAGAAACAGAACTATAGACCAATTTCCCTCATGAACATTGATGCAAAAATACTCAATAAAATACTCGCAAACCGGATTCAAGAACACATCAGAAAAATCATCCCAGGCTTCATCCCAGGAATGCAGGAATGGTTCAACATTAGAAAATCTATCAATGTAATCCACCATATTAACAATCTGCGAAAGAAAAACCACATGATCATCTCACTAGATGCTGAAAAAGCCTTTGACAAAATCCAGCACCCCTTCATGATAAAGGTCCTAGAGAGATCAGGGATAACAGGAACGTACCTGAATATAATAAAAGCAATATACAGTAAACCAACAGCTAACATCAAACTAAATGGAGAGAAACTCAAAGCAATTCCTCTAAAATCAGGAACAAGACAAGGCTGTCCACTCTCTCCGTATCTCTTCAATATTGTACTTGAAGTTCTAGCTACCGCAATAAGACAACAAAAGGAGATAAAGGGGATACAAATAGGAAAAGAAGAAGTCAAACTTTCACTATTTGCAGATGATATGATAGTTTACATAAGTGACCCAAAAAACTCCGCAAGGTTACTCCTAGAGCTGATAAACACCTTCAGCAATGTGGCAGGACACAAGGTAAACTCAAAAAAATCAATGGCCCTATTATATACAGATGATGAAGTGACTGAGAAAGAAATCAGAGAAACATCACCCTTTACAATAGCCAAAAATAGCATCAAATATCTGGGGATAATGTTAACCAAGGAAGTTAAAGACCTGTATATCAAGAACTTTGTGTCTTTGAAGAAAGAAATCAAAGAAGATACCAGAAAATGGAAAGATCTCCCATGCTCTTGGATTGGTAGGATCAACATAATCAAAATGGCAATCTTGCCAAAAGCAGTCTACAGATTCAATGCAATCCCTATCAAACTTCCATCACAATTCTTCAAGGACCTGGAAAGAACATTAACCAACTTTATATGGAAAAACAAAAGGCCCAGGATAGCCAAAACATCCCTATACAATAAAGGAACTTCAGGAGGCATCACCATACCTGACTTTAAGCTCTATTATAGAGCTACAGTCCTGAAAACAGCTTGGTATTGGCACAAAAATAGGCAGGTAGACCAATGGAACCGAATCGAAAGCCCTAATTTTAACCCACACACCTATGAACACTTGATTTTTGACAAAGAAGCTAAAACTGTACAATGGAAAAAAGAAAGCATCTTCACCAAATGGTGCTGGCATAACTGGGTACTGGTATGCAGAAGACTGCAGATAGATCCATGTTTATCGCCTTGTACAAAACTTAAGTCCAAATGGATCAAAGATCTCAACATACATCCAGCCACACTGAAACTTTTAGAAGAGAAAGTGGGAGATACTCTTCAACGAGTTGGTACAGGAGACCACTTCCTAAACATAACACCAGTGGCACAGGCACTGAGATTGACAATTAACAAATGGGACCTTCTGAAACTAAAAAGCTTCTGTAAGGCAAAGGACACAGTCAAAAAGACAAAAAGGCAGGCCACAGAATGGGAAAAGATATTCACTAACCCTACATCTGACAGAGCGCTAATCTCCAAAATTTACAAAGAACTCAAGAAACAAGTCTCCAAAACACCAAAGGATCCAATTAAAAGGTGGGGTACAGAGCTAAATAGAGAATTCTCAGTAGAGGAGGCTAAAATGGCCAAGAGACACTTAAGAAAGTGCTCAACATCCTTAGCCATCAGGGAAATGCAAATCAAAACAACTCTGAGATACCATCTTACTCCTGTCAGAATGGCTAGAATCAAAAACACCGAAGAAAATTTATGCTGGAGAGGATGTGGAGAGAGGGGAACACTCCTCCACTGCTGGTGGGAGTGCCGACTCATACAGCCTCTTTGGAAATCAGTATGGAGATTCCTCAGGAAAATGGGAATTAATCTACCACTAGACCCAGCAATTCCACTCTTAGGCATATATACAAATGAGGCAAATTCTTACAACAAGGGCATCTGCTCCACTAAGTTCATAGCAGCATTATTTGTAATAGCCAGAACCTGGAAGCAACCTAGATGCCCCTCAACTGAAGAGTGGATAGAGAAAATGTGGTACATTTACACAATGGAGTATTACTCAGCAGAAAAAAACAATGGAATCTTGAAATTCGCAGGGAAATGGATAGCACTGGAAGAAATCATCCTGAGTGAGATAACCCAGTTGCAAAAAGACAAACATGGTATGTACTCACTCATATATGGATTTTAGACATGGATCAGGATAGTGCCAGTCTGCACTTCCACTGATAGAGAGTCTGGGAAACAGGAAAGAACCTAAAAGATATGCATATATGCATAGTACCCAAGAGAAGAGGATTGAGACAAGATCCTCTGAATGGATGGGGAACACGGCGAGGGTGGGGGGGAGTGAGACCTGGGAAGAAGAGAGGGGGTGAAGAGGAAGAGAGTTGGTCATGGGGGAACAGGAAGTTGAGTGGGTGGGGGTAGAATAGGGGGAAGAGGGAATCATAGGATCGAATACAGATCAGGCACCAGAGTGACCTCGAGTGATCTAAAGGGATAACACCAATTGGCAAGCTAAGCAATAGTGGAGAGACCACCTCGAATGCCCATTCCTGATAATGAACTTGATGTCTATAACCATCCAGGAGCCTTCATCCTGTGACTGATGGAAGCAGAGGCAAACACACAATTAATCACTGAACTGAACCCAAGGAACCCAGTGACAGAGAGAGAGGAGTGATGAGCAAATTGGCAAAGACTGGGCTGGCAAAACCAGCAGAGACAGCTGATCTGAACAGGGGAGAGCTCTTGGACCCCAGACCGACAGTGGGGAGGCCAGCATGGGACTGATCTGGACCCCCCCAAATGTGAGCGTCAGTGAGAAGGCCTGGGCAACCTATGGGGCCCTGAGCTGTGGATCAGTGTCTATCCCTGGAATACAAACAGTCATTGTGTGCCCATAGCACAAAGAGGGATGCTGGACTCTTAGGGGAGTGCCTGGACCTTACCCAGAGTAAAATGACAGACTCTAGATATCCCCTATGTGGAAGGATTTGGCAATGGGGGGGGGATGGTAGGGGGAAGGGGAGTGCAGGAGGAGGGGAGGGAGAGGGAACTGGGATTGACATGTAAAACAAGCTATTTAAAATTAAAATAAAAAATGATTAAAAAAAAGAAAAGAAAACCCTTCCGAGCCCTAGAAGAAAGCAGGGCACAAATGCCTATTCAATATGTAAGCAAACCGATGGCTGAAAGCATTAAATAAAGTTTCTGAAATAGTGGTCACAAAATCAAAAATAAATAGTTCTACTCCCAGATGGTTTTTTTCTTTTCTCTCTTTTTGCTCTGTTAGCACATAATATCTCCTGATACACTAATATCTCCTGATATTGTGTGAAGCATTCCACACAACAGGGCACTTGAGAGGAACTGGCTTCAGACGTGATGTTCAAAGTCCTTAGCACACTGGTAACCTCTTTAACCTCAAAGAGGTTCAGTCGGCTGCTGGCAGACATTATTTGGATCTTGATAGGATTCCATTATTTTGCCAGAAGCTCTCTGGGCAGCACAGAAAGCTGTACTGTCAAGAGAATTTGGGCAGATGCACTAGAGCTCAGAGCTTCTCATCACCAGTTGCCCAGAGTCCATGCTGGCCAGTGAGAACAACTCTAAAAACGACCATAGGAAGGCTTCAGCATGGTTCCCAGAAGAAACGTTTAACATGTGCTGTCAAAGCCAAGACAAAAATAAGGTTCTTTCCATTTGTAGTTTCCATTGCTTGAGTGTGGAAAAAAAAAAGTTCACAAGTTACCAGGTACTGCCACCGGAGGCGTGTTTGCATCTTGAAGTACAACTTGCTTTCGGTTTCCTTTGAGCATGGATCCACTACAAACTTAAACACTCTAGTAGAACTCTGTTCAGTCCAGAAATACAGTTACTTTATTCAAGGTCTGCTTTAACTGCTGACAGTATACACAGGGTTAATAGTGTTTCCATTGCTTCCCAGAAACTGCAAACTACAGCTATGTAATATCAAGAATGTCAAATTGGGCCGTCTAGTGTAGGTCAGATAACAAACAAGGTGTTTTTAGGCAGTTCCATGAAGAATCTAAGAGTCGGGCAGTAAAAAGTTACAAACCCTTTAATATTTTAGAAAAGAGTGAAAAAAGCATAGGAGTTACGATGTCTTATTCTCAGTTTTCTAACTCTCTCCTGTGCCACGAACCTAGTTTCCATTAAGCTGCTGCTGGGTTAGTTGCTGATCATTCGCTACTCTTCCCCAGCTTTTACTTTCTCGTTCCTCACCTTCTTCATCTCGCTCATCATTTCCGCTATGATTTTTACAATAGAGTTTGTAAATTCCTCGTGACATATTTTCAATGTATTTTGCTTTGTCTTGTACACCACAGTGGTAATGGTAGGTTTTAACACAGGCTTTTATTTCACATCCAATAGTAGCACCAGGCTGACTGCAAAGTGTACATTTCATCCTTTTTCCTCGCTTAATCTCCTGAAGTACAGTTTTAATATCAAAATCTCCAAATTCTGCTCTTGATGTTGTTGTGAGCTGAACAGTACCAGAAGAAAACAACATGCACTTATAATGTGCGGCTGCCTTCTTGGCATTAAATATATGCAACTTCCCTCTCGCTTCATTTTCTTCCTCCCCTACATGGCAAAATCCGCATTTAGGTCTGGTGTCATTAGGACTGCTCCTGTGTGGAGACCTATCTCGGTAGGAACTACTTTCCATTTCGTCTGTTCCATGGGAGGATGTAGATCTGGTATCTTCCGCCAGCCCTTTAAAATTAGTTTTTCCTCTGCGACCTTTCTTCTTAGTCTTTGGAGATGATGGCTCCAGCTCATGTTCATTAAAAGTTTCTTCTAAATCAGCTTCAGAATTATGTGCAGTTTTCTTGTGTTTTCGACAATAAACCATGTAAATGCCTTGCGAAGGTTTCTCTCGGATCTGAGCTTTATCATGGAGTGCGCAGTGGTAGTGGTATGTCCTGTGGCATGTTTTCACATCACAGCCGATTGTTGCTCCAGGACAATGGCACAAAGAACACATCAGCTTTGTGCCCCTTTTAATTTCCTTTTGGACATCTTCAATAGAAAATCCACCAAGACTCTCATTATTGGAATGTGATGACACCAAAGCAGATGAAAAAAGCATGCACTTATGATGTGCTGCCACCTTCTGGTTTTCAGATATTAGTAACTGTCCACACTCCTTGTCTCTATTTGACTTACAAAAGCCACATTTGCGCTGTCTTGTAGACCCTTTTTTCTGTTCAACTGAGCTTGACATGATTTTTAAACTGCTTATAGAATGCGACTTTAAGCCTCAAGAAATGCAGCGTGGCCCACGGGCGAGCGACGGGAGGACAGCGCCCACGAGGGGAGAAGAGGAAGGCGGGCGTCGGTTCTCCGGCACTGCCGAAGAGCAGAGCTCAGCCGCCGGGGGTTGTTTCCTTTCATTCGAGGAGAGACGGGCTCGCCGAGCGCCCTTACGTTGCCTCCCTCCGTACGCACAGATCCTGTATCTTGAAGGATGTCTCATTATGTCCTTCCTTTTAGTGCTGAATTTGTCGTTGATGGACATTTGGAATTTTTCAAACTTATGGCTGTTATTAGTAATGTTGCTCTGAATATTCTTACACAAGTTTGAACAACAGTTTTCATTTCTCTTGGACATACACTCAAATGGGAGTGATGAGTTTGATCATAACGTCTAATTAAATATATCTATTCAGGCTGAAGAGATGGCTCAGTGGTTAAGAGCACCAGCTACTTTTTCACACCCAAGTCAGTGCCTAGCATTCATGTCAGGTGAGTCACAATCATCTGTAATCCCAACTCCAGAGGGTCCAATGCATTTGGCATGCAAGGGCACCTACACTCACATGTACAAACCCACACGCAAACACACCTACATGTAGTTTAAAATAATAATAATAAATAAATAAATGAAATGTGCCATGTGTTTTGGGCAGTGGTGTTGCATACCTTTAATCCCAGTATGTGGAAGCCAGACACAAGTGGATCTCTGTGAGTTCAAGGCCAGCCTGAGCTACAAAGTGAGTTCTATGACAACCTGAGCTACACAGAAATCCGTCTCAAAAAAAAAAACAAAAATAAATAAATAGGTAGAGGTCTTTCTCCAGCCATTCGCCATGGTAGCGGGGTGAAGGGCCCAAGCTAATGGGGTTAGATTAGCTTGTTAAACATCTACAATAAAAGACTCTTTGCTTTTGCATTGAATAAATAAATAAATAGGTAGATAGACAGACAGACGGACAGACGGACGGACGGATGGATAGATAATAAAATTAAATTGGAAAATATAATGCAATCACCTAATTGTGGAAACCTCTTTAATCACAATGCAGTGTTGGTTTTTCTCAAAGAATGTTTTGCATCTATAAACCTGTTTTGCTCATTTTCATTTGTATTGCCATGGCTCTGTTATACAGTAGATCAGCCTTGGGGTAAATTCTACTTGGTTACAGTAATAGAAATCTTATTGGATTCTTACAATACAGTAGTCACTTGGTTCAGTATATTATTATGTTGGGGAGCGTTTTGCATCCACATTTTCAAGTGATGTCAGTTTGAAGGCTATCTGATCATGGGGTTATAGCACAATGACCATATAGAGAATTTTGGAGATGTCTCACTTCTCTTCTGAATTTTGAAAATGTGTGGAGGGAACTGGCGTTGGATCTTCTCTAAGTGGCTGGGAGAATTCGCCACTGAAATATTCTAGTCTTAGGCTTTTCTTGAGGAGAGTCTCTTATCACTAATTCTTTCTCATTATGCCACAGGTCCATTATACGTGCTATGCATATACTTTTGAGGGTAGTTTCTACATTTTGTGTGTTTATATGAATTTGTACATTCTAGCTTAATTATGTATGTGAAGCAATTGCTATAATCTTCCAGTTATTAACAGAATAACTTAATAGGCCCTTGGGACTTTAATAACAGTATTACTCCCCTAAAACACTTGCTATAAACACTAGTAATCTGATTGATTACTCTATTTCTACAACAACTCCAACTAACATTTACCCATCTCCTAAGATACTTTTGAAGAGGCATCTTTTACATTTGTTGATTTCCTCTATTTTTTTAATTTTATTAGTTTCCACTTTGGTCTTAGTATCCACCCCCTCTCTGCCCGAAGTGTGTTTGCTCTTCTGTCTTAACGGTTCTTCTCATAAAGTGTTACCTTTTAAGACCAGTTGTTTTTTTCTCAGCACTCAAACTTCTTCTGAGTGTTGCTTTGTCCCTATCTTCATAAGGGTTTCCTTTATTGGTAGCAATATTATTGGTGTTGATGTTATTACTGTGTGTGTGTGTGTGTGTGTGTGTGTGTGTGTGTGTGTGTGTGTGTGTAAGTGGAGCTGAGCTTGCGAACATTACAGGACAAGATGTGGGAGTCAGGTATCTCCTTCAACCATGGGCTTCAGGGACCAAACTCAGCCAGGTTCCACAGATGGTTTCACCTGCAGAGTCATCTCACCTGCCCCTATTAGTTGTTTATATCATGTCGTTTTTTTTCTCTTTTCACTTCAACGCAATTTGGAATTTGTGATGAGAGACTTTATTTGTTATAGGCCATAACAATTGATATTCAAGGTGTCAATCCCCTCAGAATTAGCTTCTGTAGAAGGAAAAACTTGTAATTGCAAAGCTTTTGAGAATTCTAGACCCCAGAATATCTATTGCCTCTGCCTGTAATTTTACACATGTGCTAATTTGCATCCCTTCCCTGGTGGCTGTGTGGAAATTCTTATACGTATGGTATATGTTTTTATGAATACATTCCTGATCTACTGGGCATTCTTGTCTGTGGTTTGTCAAGAAGACAGCTCTTCCTTAGCTATATTGTCCAATCAGTATTAATATTGTTAGCCTATACAGAGTTTTGATGAATAAAATAAATACAAAGAGATGCTGCCCAGGTCAGGAGTTATCAGTTTCCGTTAAGAACTGTCTTAGAGCACATCTTAATTTCCCCAGCTGCCAAGATAGCCACACAATATCAACTGATATAAAACTTTAAAGTAGCTCTTAGATCAGTCTGGGTACTTTGCTAAATGGATTTTAAAATAAACTATTACCAAACATACAATCTTATTTACAAGGACATGTATCCAGCTCTGTGACTTGTTGAGCCAAGGTAAATAATGCAAAGTAGCTAAATTGCAATGCCCAGGCCATCAAACTGCACTGCATAAGATTCCCTGACTGACCAGGGCTAGCTACAAAATATAAGGTAACTTTGTAGCCCCAAAAAGGAGTTACAGGTTTCTCTTTGTATGGTAGGGTTACATGATGGACAGAAAAATATATCTTTTTTAATTTAAATTTAAATTAGAAACAAAGTTGCTTCACATGTCAATTCCATGTCCCTTTCCCTCCCCTCCTCCTGTGCCCTCCCACCAACCCCCCCCCCCATGTCCCCTCATTTCCCCAGGGAGGGTGAGGACCTCCATGGGGGTGTCCATAGTCTGTCATTTCATCCAGGACAGGGCCTAGACCCTCCCCCCCAAGAGTTCAGGGTGAGAGTGCATCTCTCATTGTTGGATGGGAGCCAAAAGTCCATTTGTATACCCAGGAAAAATACTGATCTACTACCCAAGGCTCGATAGATTACCTAGGCTTCCTCACTGACACCCACATTCAGGGGGTCTTAATCAGTCCCATGCTGGATTCCCAGGCATCAGTCTGGGTGTTTCTGGGGGCTAAAGCAGCCCAGTCTTAACCCCTTTGCTCATCAGTTCTCCCTCTCTGTTACTGGCTTTCTTGAGTTCAGCTCAGTGTTTAGCCGTGGAAGTCTGCCTCTGCTTCCATCAGCCGCTGAATGAAGGTTCTGTTTCCCAGACTCTCTGGCCATGGGACTGTAGGCTGGCACTCCCCAGATCTATGTCTAAAATCCATATATGAGAGAGTACATGCCATGTTTCTCTTTTTGTGGCTGGGTTACCTCACTCAGGATGGTTTCTTCTAGTGCCATCCATTTGCCTGCAAATTTCAGGATTCCATTGTTTTTTTCTGATGAATAGTACCCCATTGGGTAAATGTACCACATTTTCTCTATCCACTCTTCAGTTGAGGGGCATCTAGGTTGCTTCCAAGTTCTGGCTATTACAAATAATGCTGCTATGATCATAGTGGAACAGACGTCCTTGTTGTATTGAAGGGGCATCTTTTGGATATATACCTAAGAGTGGAGTTGCTGGGTCTTGTGGTAGGTTTATTCCCATTTTTCTGAGGAATTTCCATATTGATTTCCAAAGTGGCTGTACAAGTTGGCACTCCCACCAGCAGTGGAGGAGTGTTCCCCTTTCACCACATCCTCTCCAGCATAAATTGTCTTCGGTGTTTTTGATTTTAGCCATTCTGACAGGAGTAAGATGGTATCTCAGAATGGGAAAAAATATTCACTAACCCCACATCTGACAGAGGGCTGATCTCCAAAATTTACAAAGAACTCAAGAAGCAAGTCTAAAAACACCAGAGGATCCAATTTAAAAGTGGGCTGCAGATCTAAATAGAGAATTCTCAATAGAGGAATCTAAAATGGCTGAGAGACGCTTGAGAAAGTGCTCAACATCCTTAGCCATCAGGGAAATGCAAATCAAAGAAAAATATATCTTAAGATTAAAATGCTTTTAATGCCTCTGTGCTTTGGAGAGTGCTAGTGAACTCATCTGTGCTGGTGCCTTGTCCCCCTGCCTCACAGGGCAGAGCTGCTAGGGGTTTCCCAGCCACAGCCTGGCTAAGCTGTCTAAAAGCTACTCTCTCTCACTCTGAAGACAATTGCTCTTCATTAACAGTCTTCAGTCCAAGAAAGCCTGTCCTTTATGACCACTAACCACAAAATGTTTAAAAATGTTTTATACACTTAGAAGTATAGGCTATAACACACCATTTTCCTTATTTGTCTTGGTAGTTTAGTTTTATAAGGCTACATCTGCAAACAAGACAACAGAAATGACTTCTCCTTTTGCAGCTGTGGCTTGCAGCCCACTAATTGGAGAGTTAACTGAAAGTACTCTTTTCTTACTATCTGGATTTATTGCACTGTGAGTTGTTAGACTGACTCTGTCTCTTATCATTTACTCAAAAAGTGGGATGTGACCTTCAGATGTAATGCCTGCAAGATTTTTGTGAGTCTGTATAAGCTGCATAAAACAAAGAGCCAGAGGAAGAAAGAAAAAACTGGCAGGATGGCAGATTCTGTCATGAGAGAATAAAGAGTGCTATCATCAACAAAATCATATGCTTGTCCTTTTTTTCCCTCTAAAATCCCTCAGATGAAGTCTTGAATTCACTGTTCTATGGAGCTTTTTCCCTGAAACCAGCATGCAGCCCAGAAGCAATTTCTTTCTGTGTTACTGTAGAATTGTCCCACAGTTCTTGACCTTTTGGTCACAGAGGAGTGCAGTGATGATTAATTCACATATTACTTTCCCAACATTTCCCTGATGGGTGAAGAATATAGACTATGATATTTCTAACCTGAAAACTCATTCTGTGTGTATGTGTACCTGTCTGTCTGCCTGCCTTTCTGTCTGTGTGTGTTTGTGTTTCTGTCTATGTGTCTTTCTGTCTGTGTGTTTGTGCCTGCATCTGTGTGCCTGTGTCTGTGTGTGTCTGTGTTTCTGTCTGTGTGTATCTGTGTGCGTCTGCGTGTGTCTGTCTTTCTGTCTGTGTGTGTGTGTCAGTGTCTGTGTGTGTCTGTGTTTCTGTCTGTGTGTATCTGTGTGTGTCTGTGTGTCTGTCTTTCTGTCTATGTATATCTGTGTGTGTGTGTGCCTGTGTCTGTGTGTCTGTGTCTGTCTTTATCTGCCTGCCTGCTTTGCCTGTCTGTGTCTGCATGTGCACAGACACACCCACACACTTACATATATATAGATCAGAAAAAAACCTTCCGTGTCATTCGTCAGATTCTTTCCACCTTGTTTGAGACAGGTATTCACTGGCTTGGGACTTTACCAACCAGGCTGGGCTAACTAGCTACCTGGCTTCCAGGAGTTCATTCACTGTCTCCAGCTCTCACGTTGCCATTGCTGAGCTTGGCATTTCACATGGGTTCTGGGAACGGAACACAGGTCCTCACATTTCCAAGGCGGGTGCTTTCCCCACTGAGCCATCTCTCAGCCTTGAAAGCTCTTTCCCGAACACCTTGATTAACTGCGGCACCGGACTGAAGCCTGATCTACCCAAAAAGACCTCAGTCCTACATGTGAGAGGTCAAGGAATTTAACCTTGAAACCATGCAGCAGACACCACTGATATCACCTCTGTGTCAGTGGCCATACATTGACACACCATTTCCCAGACAGTAGCCTGGAACCTGAGCAAGAAGAGAAGTCTTGGTTGAGATCCTGTAACTCTTGCTGTTATGAGTGTTAGAATAAATGTAATTGTTCCAGGTAAATTTTGCATTTTCACCACGGTTTCTCTTTTCTTTCCCTTCTAGTACTCTTTCCATTCCTTATCCCACTATATGATGCACTCAAAATGACTGTGTTTCCAAACGATGTCATAAGCTTTTTTAAAACTTCTGTAGAACAAATGAAAGAGAATCGCATGCAAGACAAAGAAAAGGTAAGAGCTGGTCACTTGAGGTTGCTCACTTATTGTTAAAATGTTAAGATGTTTGTTTGTACATATATGTTCCATATAATTTAAAAACTCAGCCAGGTTGAGAACACAGAGATTTTTCTATTTTGAAGAAAATGAAGCATTAGGAACAGAGATATGAACTAAGTAAAATAGAAAGCATTTAAAAATCAAATGATACATATTATCACTGATCTGCCTTTAAATTATTATTTTTGGTGTGAGAAATTCATATTCCAGAAAAATATTTCTTGCATTTATGAGATGTATCATTAGTTGTAAATAAGTTACGCATGTAGTTTCTCACACATTCTTGTATCGTTATTTTTCAATAAGGTACATGTGTAGATTCTCAAATAGTGTTGTATCAAAAAATAGTTTGTAATTTCTTCAATGCTGAGGATAAAACTCAGGACCATATGCATGGTTGGCAAACAAATCATCCTTGAACAGTGGTTCAAGTTGCCCTGGGCATCCAGTTCGACCCTACTACATATTGGGAACAGAGTTTGTGGCTTTGGTGTCGGATCAGGAGATCCCAATGGAGCAACCATTATTAATGGCTCATTTCTTCAAGAATTAAGGTCTTCTGTGATCTGAGTTCACACCAGGGGTGGGAAGATGAGCAGACATCTGAATAAAGCAGAACTCTCATATGATCCAGCCATGTAACGGTCGTATGATGACATAAGCTTGTGTGGGAGACACATGTACTCCCATGTTCATTTGAGCCATTTAAAATTTTCAAAAGCTATTAGAAGAATGAACTTTAAAGTCCTATCATGAATGAATAATAAACATCTGAAAATATGTTTAACCTGGTTTGAGCAGCATACATTTCATATATATGTATGTGTGTGTATCAAACTCCATTTTGCCCATTGATATATAATTTTCATTTTTTAGGTATGCCTTAATATAAATTTTTAAAATAATGAGAAAAATGGGCTAAAGAAATGTCTCAGAAGTTAAAAGTTGATCTGTTCTTGCAGAGGACAAGAATTTAGTTTCCAGCACCTATACTGTGTTAGTGCTGGGGGTTCATAGTATCCTGTGACATTAGCTTCATGGAGTCCAGTACCCACTTCTAGATTTATGGGCACCTGCACTCACACATGCGCACACCCACACAGAGACACACATAAAATATATAAATAAGAATAAATCTTTGTTAAAAATGTAAGACAAATGTTGCCATATCCCTTCCTAAAAAGGAAAATTATTCTATATAAACATTACTTCCCAGGAACTTTAACTCACCCATTGGTAAGAAATGACTTCACTTCCAAACCTATTATTTTATAAATTTTCTCCAAAAGCTCCATTTTAAGTTATCTGATGCCATTCGTTCTGCTACATTTTTAGTTTTTAATTTTTGGAGACACAGTATGACTATGTAGTCTTGCCTCTAGGTCTCAGTCACCAAGACTCAAAAGCTAGGGATACAAGTGTGTGTCAACCTGTCTGGCTGGGCTCAACTACATCTGAGTTGCTTGTGGCTTGAAGTTGGCACTGGATTCAGCCAGGTATCCAGGCTTTGTTACGTACAGCCAGGAGTCCAGAATAAGGAAGTGCATAGGTCATAGAGGCAGGACTAGATAACCCCCAATATGTCACTTGTTGGAATATTTCTAGATGCTCACCCAAAAACTACTGATGAGATTTGGGAATGGCACTAGCTTCATCTATAAAGACACGATTCAAGATTAAGATAGGAGGACACAGATGGGAGTTCAGAACTTCTTCCTGTGTGAGCACACATATGAAGGGAAGGAGAGGATTGGCACTGTTTAGTACCCAAAGAATTCAGGGTCAAGGATAGCAAAGACCAGAGCTACTAGACACACAGCCATAGTTCACTCAGGAAGGCACTCTGCTCTCCAAAGCTGGTATGTGGACATGCGTGTCTACCACTAGCTCTGGCACCCCAGTGAGATTAAAGAAATACTATTTCTGGGATTAAAGAAATACTATTCTCAGAAACGTGGCTAGTTCTTCACTTGTTCACTTCTCTCTAATCACACGAATGACTTTTCACCTTCCACAACTATTTTCTTTCAGCAAAGATTGGATTTTCTTCAACTGATGATCAACTCCCAGAATTCCAAAGACAAAGAATCTCATCAAGGTTAGCAAAGATGGGTCGTATCTACTGAGGTGGAACTAACAAGACAGATATTGGTTCTGGAAGCATGCAAGGGGGTTCCCAGGCAGATAAAGATGTCTGCAATTTATAGAATAACATATTTGTGTCTGTAATATATTCAGTAAGAGGAACTTTGAAGAAGCACAGGATTATTACCGTGATCAAAGCCTGAAGGGCAGGCGCTCGTTCGAAGGTCATCAGTGGTCTCTGGAACTTGTGCCACCAAGCAAATACCAGCTGGGCCTCATCTAGACCCACTGAGTCAAAAGCTCTGTCCGGAGATTTGCATGTAGACATCCAGTCAGAGGACAGCCCACAGTGGTGCACACCTGGCATGAATGCTTACCCAGATCTTGATTGACAGCCAAGCTTTGATTTCCTGTGTAGCCGATAAGAAACGCATGGAGAAAGCCTTGGGGCTAAGCACACATTCCTCTACTCTTACTAGTTTTTCACCTGCTCATCTTCCCATCAGGGGTGGCTGTGACAGTTGAAGAATGATGGCTTTCTGATTCCATCCTGCCCTGTGCAGCTGTGAGTCCCACCAAAAGGGAGAGACAGATGTTGGTCCTCTCGCTTCATTCTTTTTCATTTTCTCCCTTTCCCCCCACTGCCTTCCTTCTCTTTTTTAATATTTTTATTTAATTTAGAAACAATCTTATTTTACCTATCAACCCCTTCCTTCTCTTATCCTCCAACTTCTCCTACCTCTCTCTCTCTCTCTCTGTCTCTCTCTTTTTACATATATAAATATATATAAAATATATCCTGGTCCCTTACCGTCATCATTTATATTGACACACAGATTCAATGACATTTGTCCAGTGTAGAAGCCCTGTCATATGAACTCCTAATTCCTTTGTTAAGCGAATTGAATGTTTGTTTATTGACACTGAACAGCTTTGTATTTCTGCTTGCTTATTCCAGCAGAGAGCACAGTTCTGAAGTTTTTGTATCCATACTCTCCTTTCGTGTACTGGTCATTTTCATGTTGCTGTGAGAAAATACCTGACAGTCAGAAATTTAAAGGAGGAGGGTTTTATCTGACTTATGATCCAAGCTAATTATTCATTCATTTTGGGAGACTTTACAACACCCGGGACTAGGCATGATCACAGGAACAGAGTAAGCAGGAAGTGTGGTCAGGCTACCAAACTTCAAGGTTCTGTCCCAGTGACCCCGTTCCTCCAAGAAGGCCACCACCTCCTTCACAAGCATCACTGCCATCTGGGGACCAAGTGTTCAGACAAATGAGATTGAGGGAACACTTGTCATTCAAACCAAAACAAGAACATAAGCTCCCAGTTCACTAGGACAAAGAAACTGACAGGCTATCTTCCCACCAGGAACATAGCAGATGTCATGGTTGGCAAACCAGAGCTCTGCAAACCCTTCAAAACATTCCTTTTCTGCTGTTCTTTCTTTTTTCAGTTTTGAATTTACAAGGTTGGAGCAGGTCATATGTCTCTAAAGGTCCCCTTCCACCCCCACCCCACCCCACCAAACCCCTGCTCAGTGCTTAACTGTTCAGTGCTTAACTGATCTGAGCTTCTGTGCGGATTAAAACTGAAGAAGGAAAACAGCCGTTGTCAGGAGTTCTGTGGTCCTGAGCTGGAGAGAGTAGCAGGGCTGGGGAGGGGAATACGGGGCAGATGGTGTTCAGTCACTGTTGAATGAGCACTGCTAACTTTATTCTAAGGACAACTGCCTTGTGTGTCCCACACTCAGTGCTCCTTTTGGCATTTCTTTCTTCTGCTGCATTAGTGCGTTTGTTAGAAAAAGGTCAGTCACCACCCCTGTGGCTTCCTACTTAGCAGGACTTCAGTTATCAACCATTTGGGAAGGCTAGTAATCCTTGCTTGTCAAGTGAGATTGTCCACAAAAATACCACACCTGGCAAAAGTTACCATTTTGGTTTGAGAAATGTAAACTTGCTTTGAGGCTCTGTATTTCACTTTCATTGATGCTGTAAGTCCAAAGACTACACATTGAGTATTTTCACACCATTGATTTGGGTTAGTTAAGGTGTATGTAGTTCGTAGGTCTGTTAATATTCATGCACTGGAGTCTTTGAATTGAATGCTCATTCAAAGTGTTTCAAGCCATATTTTACCAAGAATAGTTGAATTTTTCTTAAGAGAGAATGCTATTTCATATTTTATTTATAAAAATGGACTTCTTGGGGCTGGCTAGATGGCACAAGAACTTGACTTTGAATCCTCAGCAACCACATAAAAAGCCAAGCATGGCTGGGCATGTGTTTCCATACATTTGAAGGTAGAGACAGGAAGAAACTTGAAGTTCTCAGCCTAGCTACCACAGCTGAAAGGGCAAGCTTCCAGGTAAGCAAAAGACACTGTAGAAAGGAAATAACATGGAAAATGGCAGAGGAAAACATCCACAAAACCACAGTGGCATGCATAGTCAGCTCTGTGTGTGAGAAATCAAGTGCTTATATGACTGTATCACATGGACACTCATACACATACAACACTCACACACACACCACTAATATACTCACACATGTACACTCGTAAACACATACACAGACACCTCATATACCATTAACACATACACATACAATAGTTTTTAAATTAAGCAGAATGAAAGTTTAAACATGCCATATTTGTCTTCTGTAAAGGAGTATTGGAAATTTTTTATTCTAATTAAAAGAGGAAATAAAAACCTCAGAAAGCAGAGTCATGCTTAAGACACTGTGCCATACTAGGCAGATATTCCTTCTCTCCAGATTGCATACCTCTGGTGCTGTCGAGGGCATAGGAACGAGGAGCAGATGGGCAAGGGGAATGTACACTGGATTAAAATCATTTTTCCAATTTACCCCCTTGTCGGAGAATGAAAACCCAGCCTCTTATAATTCTGAATTTTCATGTTCTCTGTAGATGTTTGTGATCTTTCTTTGGCTTGCTCCTCCTCTAAACCATGATTTATACTCATCTCCTTTGCCCAAAATGTATGCCCTGGACTGAAGAAATGACTCCACAGGTAAAGGCACTTGCTGCCAAACTCAGAGACCTGAGTTCTAATCCCAAGACCCAAACGGTAGAAAAGTAGAGTTTACTCTTACAAGTTCTCCTCTGACTTCTAAACCATGCTTTGGCCTTCTGGAGTCTATACACACATCAATCAATTGATGTAAAAATAAGTGAGATGAAATGCAGTTCCTTTCCCTTCAGGGTTATCTGATCTGGAGATTTCGGCCCAGTCCATTTTCTTTATTTTCGCTGGCTATGAGACCACCAGCAGCGCGCTTTCCTTTGCTCTGTATTTACTGGCCACTCACCCCGATGTCCAGAAGAAACTTCAGGATAAAATTGATGCAGCTCTACCCAATAAGGTGAGGATGTGGGGCCCGGAGAGAGCAGTGGAGAGAAGCAGTGACAAGTGTGGTTCTCATCACATTTGGTGAGAATCTTTGCACAGGGCCATAAGCATGGACTGTTCTGACAGCTTTGTTTAAGAATGATCTTCAGATGAATGTATGGAAAAAGACATCAAATACTGCTTTTTAAGATTACAACATCTTTGCAGATGAATATTGGTACGGCTTTATCCATTATCTATTACCAAAAACTACCAAGAAGCAACCACAAAATCACAGTGGCATGAAAGTATGAGCATTGGTTAGTCAAATCTGGGTAGTCAGCTTGCTGATGTTGTGGGGTGTGCTGTTAACCTGTTGTTGGCTGAGTGTGACTGGCCTTGGCTGGACGGGGCTAGGCATATTGATTTATCTCTGTCCCACAATCTCTCTCCACTCATAGGTGACCCAAGTCAAACTCTTAACCATACATTATGATCTGTCCAAAAGTCCCATAAATTAATAGCCAGATATTTTCCACATTGGTCTTTACAGCTCTGCCCATACTGGGAAGCTATTGGTGTGAGGTTAAGTAGTCTGTGGAGATGTCTGTCTGGTTTATCATGCTCTTCAGAGATCACAGGCAAGCCCTGAAGGAACAATCATCAGGCTGAACCAGCAACAGAGAATGCAGCTAAGTGATGTATTCTGTTCTCACTGTGACTTTTACCAGGGTTGAAATTGAGCATTTTGATTGAGATGACTATATCTGTCTTTGGTATCTTTAATATAGAAGAGACTGCTAAGACCAGCTCAAATCATTTGTGTTTTGTGATGTACAACCAAGGTGCATGTTTTTATTTAATTTTAAACTATTTTTAATTGAAATAGAATTACATCACTTTCCTCCTGCCCTTTCCACCCTCCGGCCTATGCCTCAAACCTCTCCCATCCCCGACTTTCAAGTTGATAACCCCTTTTTGATTACTATTGTTGCATAAATATATACATAAGTTTGTATGTATGCACACACAGACAAAACCTACTGAGTCCGTTTTTGGTGTGTGTGTGTGTGTGTGTGTGTGTGTGTGTGTGTGTGTGTGTGTGCGCGCGCGCGCGTGCTATTTCAAGGCTGACCACTAATATTGCCACTGTTCTGGTCTTGTCTGTGCATCATTTCTAAAAGAGACTGTCTCACGGCAGACTTCCTCTCACAATCCTTCTGCCTCTCTTTTCTTCTCCATGTTCCCTGAGCCATAAATGCAGCATCTGTAATGTAGAAATATTGACTGGTGCTCAGCTCCCCATGACCCATTAAGGTATGAATGAAGTCCAGTTGAGGTTCCTGTGATGATCTCCAGTTGATGTAAAGGGCAGTTTCTTTAATGAGTTATCAAAGATTATCTGATCTAATGTTTCTAAATCTTATATATAATCAAAATAATGACCATGCAAGACATTTGTAACTAAATAAAATAATGATTTTCTTAAAGGCTGTAAAGAAGACTCATCAGTTAAGAGCTCTGGATGCTCTTTAATAGTTCAGTTCCTAACACGCACATCAGGAGACTGACAACCATGTTTAGCTACAGTTCTAGGAGCTCTGACACACTCTTCTGGGCCCACAGCACGTGAACACACATGCACAAATCTCTACACAGATACATACACATAAATAAAAATAATTATTTTTTCCAAAATGGAGATTTGCTTTCATCTGTATTTTATATAATTCCATGTGTGACCTCTTTGTGGAAAGGTAGCACTAACTATGGTATGTTGTTGTTGAGTATAATTGTCATAATCTATTAGTAATGGTTCCTTACATAAGAAACAAAGAGTAGTGCATGATAATGCTGAGGATTCAAGGCCCTGGTCTTGGCATTATCCTAAAGGATTGCTTCTCAATGGGTTATTGAACAGATTGAAGAGTGTGTGTTATTAAAATGTTTTATAGCTGAGCAGTGGTGGTGCACGCCTTTAATCCCAGCACTAGGGGGGCAGAGGCAGGGACATCTCTGTGAGTTGAGTTCCAGGACAGCCAGAGCTGTTACACAGAGAAAGCCTGTCTCTGAAAAATGCTCTGTAAATGCTAAGGCTCTTAATCAGTAGGAGTTGCTCTGTGGAGCTCCAAACACCTTGGCAGTGCTCCATAGATAAAAATTAATTCAAAAATATTAACTCATGGGACCAGGTATTGGACAAACCAAGACCTCTGAGCATGGGTGCCAGCTAGGAGGCCAGGGCAGTCTATATGACCTCTCACAGCAGAGCCAGTGTTTATCCTAGAGCACAAATGGACTTCAGGAGCCCATTCCCTATGGAGGGACACTATTGCAGCCCAGATACGGGAAGGAAGGCCTGGGCCCTCCCCCAAATGATGTGATGGACCTTGATGATCCTCTGTGGAGGGCCTTACTGGCCCTGGGTAGTGTGTGGGGTGTCGGTGGGGAGCATGGGAGGATGAGAGGGAGAGGGATTGGGGGAATTGATACGTAAATAAGAGTGCATCTAAAATAAAAATAATGTTTAAAATAAAAAATATTAATTTATGAATCCTCTCCATCTCCCTCCTCCTCTCTCCATCCTTCTCCCTGCCCATTCATCCAGGCACCTGCCACCTATGATGCCCTGGTCCAGATGGAGTACCTAGACATGGTGATGAATGAGACTCTCAGATTATATCCAGTCGGTGGAAGACTCGAGACGATCTGTAAGACAGATGTTGAAGTCAATGGGGTGCTCATTCCCAAAGGGACTGTAGTGATGGTACCGACCTTTGCTCTTCACAAAGACCCAGAGTGCTGGCCAGAGCCTGAGGAGTTCCACCCTGAAAGGTACAGAGACATGGGAAAGAAAAACAACCCAGAACCAGACTAGTCTGAGCATGATGTGTGTCTCTCTCTGTCTGTCTGCCTGTCTGTCTGTGTAAACTTTTAGGAAAGTATGTCATCTGTCTTAGTTTCCTCAGAACTCTTGTGTACTCTGCTTTTCATTTATCTCAGGTTCCCTTGCCATTCCCACTAGCTGTCCCTGTCACTTTTAGAGAGCATCTGCATCTCCCACTTGAATAGATTTTGCCTCCTGGACCTTCTATTATGTCTGTAATGGTGTCACGGTGGGCCTGGAAGCCCTCCTCCATTATGGTTAGAGCAGCCTTGGTGAAGATAGAGGAGCCCATGGGCCTGAGAGTCCTATCTCTGGCTGTCATCCTAGCCAGCTCCCTAACACTTAATGCCTCTTCTAAGACCAAGGCACCTGCTAGTCTAGAATCCTGAGACATCCTTCTTTGGAGATGCCGCAAGCAGATTCTTCTGGGAGTTTTGGAACTAAGGTCAGGCTTCTGTCAAAGTTTTAAGTATAAAAATACTATTTTCTTGATCTCCTGTTGGTAATCAAAACAGAGAATGGAGGTCATAGCGCTGAGGCTAGCAAATAAGAGGATCTATGAGGCAGATATGCACTAACCCCTAGCTGTGGGCTTTCTGATGTCAGAATATATGCCTTAGGCTTGTGGCATGCCTGTTGCCACCATGATATTTACTGAAGAAATCGTTCAGAGTTGACCCATTCCGAATGACTAATGTGTTCCCTCCAGTCTCCGCAATTCTACCTCCTGTTGTACTGTGACTATAAAAGCACAAACAATTGACTACATTTGTGTTGAATTTTTTAATAGTGAAACTGTTTAACACATGCCTACTTTGTATAGGGACTACTCCAAAGACTGATAAAAATCCAAATTATATGTCTATTACAGAGGATGTTTGACAAGTGCCCAAGAACAATACATAGAAATTATATAGAGAGTAATACATAGAAATCATATATGTAGCACTCTGAATGGATCTCTGTGTGCTCAGCAACCTTTCACCCATGTCAGCTTCACCACCACCCGCTCCTCCTGTATGTCTTCCAACACACTCTCCCTCAACTGCCGCGTGGTGTGTGTGTGTGTGTGTGTGTGTGTGTGTGTAACATACAACCCATAAATACTTCAGAATTCTCTTCAAAACATAAATTACAGCTTGAAGTACATAATTACAGTTATCATCTTATTAAAATCATTACTTTTCTCCTAAATATTTAAATATCAAATTTAAATAAAATGTATCTACTCTTCCATAATTTTATATGCAAGGAAACATATAAAGAAAAACGTGGATGACATTACACTGGAGTAACCTTGTATATTCTGTAAGATATCTGACTTAAATGCTAGTAAGGAAGGGAAGTAGGGAGAAGAAGAAGAAGAAGAAGAAGAAGAAGAAGAAGAAGAAGAAGAAGAAGAAGAAGAAGAAGAAGAAGAAGAAGAAGAAGAAGAAGAAGAAGAAGAAGAAGAAGAAGAAGAGGAGGAGGAGGAGGAGGGGGGGGAGGAGGGATGGAGGAGGAAAATAAAGAGAAATAAAAGATATGTAGGAAGGTAGGATGGGAGGAAGGAATGGAGGAGGAAAGGAATGAGCACAGAGTGAGGGGAAGAGAGAAGGGAACTAGCAAAAGGAAAAGAAAGACAGGGAACATAGTCAAAAAAGAAGAAGAATTGAAAGGGAGGAGAGACGAGAGGAGGGGAGGGGAGGGGAGGGGAGAGGAGGGGAGGAGAAATTGCAAAGGGAAAACAAAGTTTTGGGTATGTTATCCTCTGAGCCCAGTGCTCATGTGACCAGCAGAAGTGTTAGTTGAGGCAAAAACACGCTTTCCTTCTATTGGTCTCCTATCTTGTGTGTCAAATGCCCTTTTCTTGTTTAATGATAAATTTTCTGGAACTGGGTGTGGTGGTGCACACCTTCCATCCCAGCACTTGGGAGGCAGAGGCAAGTGGATCTCTGTGGATTTGACACCAGCCTGGTCTACATAAAGAGTTTCAGACCACCCAGAATAAGTAAGTAATAAATAAATGTTCTTTTGAACAGCATTGACCAACGTGACTAAAAGTTTCTCCACAGTAAAGAGAGGGGGAGCAATTTCTACAGTATATCACCCACTCCAACACCTAGGAAACATCACGGAAGACAGGAAGGACAGACTGTAGTGGCTAGAGGTGTGGAGTTGTGCTACAGAATGTCTTGTGGACAAGCCATGGCCATTGCCTTCGTAAACACACAACATCTGTGACTTCCTGTAAAAGACTTGCACACATGTGGGGACACACACACACACACACAAAATGAGGCAGGAAAGTAGGAGGGGACTACTTGGGAACATGGAATGAAAGAAGTGGGATCACAGTGTATTGTATACAACTAATAAAATCTCAAAAATTAACTTTTAAGAGCTCCAGCAGGAGCTGAACAAGGGGGAGCTCTTGGACCCCCGCCTGATGCCTGAAAGGTCAGCAGGGGACTGATCCAGACCCCCTGAATGCAGTGTCAGTGAAGAGGCCTCGACAATCTCTGGGGCCTTGGGTAGTAGATCAGTGTATACTGTGGCATATGAATGAACTTTGGGAGCCCATTCCACATGGAGGGATGCTCTCTCAGCCTGGACACAAGGGGGAGGGCCTAAGTCCTATCCTGAATGAAATGACAGACTCTGGAGATTCCCCCCATGGATGGCCTCACCCTCCCTGGGGTATGGTGTGGGGATTGGGTGGGAGGCTGGGGAGCTAAGGGAGGGGCTAGGGAGGAATGGTGGGAGAGGAAGCTGACATTGTCATGTGAAGCAAGGTTGTTTCTAATTTAAATAAAAAATATATATTGGAAAAAAGAGAGCTCCAGCAGAATTTCGACCAACAGCCCAGGCAAACATCCTGCCTGCTACTGCTTATGGGTATCTAAGAGATATCCAACTAGGGAAGTTGTGGGGTTTGTGCTTTGTTAACTCATCTTCATCTACTCCCGTGGGACCAGGTTCAGCAAGAAGAACCAGGGCAGCATCAATCCTTACACATACCTGCCCTTTGGGGATGGACCCAGGAACTGCATTGGCATGAGGTTTGCTCTCATGAACATGAAACTGGCTCTTGTCAGAGTCCTGCAGAACTTCTCCTTCCAGCCTTGTGAGGAAACTCAGGTCAGTGTGCTTCCTCAGTGAGTTACATACAGGTCAGTGTGCTTTTTCAGTGAGTTACATACAGTTTGGCTTTTTAATTGGGGTCATCTGCATGTAGAGAAGCATATATTGCTCACGTCTTAATTTATTCTTTGAGCCATGTAACTTCTTTTGTGATATCTGTTGAGGTGTATGGTCTATGGTATGGGGGCAGAGGCTTTATCTTTTGCTTTAAAAATATTTTCTAAATTCAGGGACTGGGTAGTGGTTCATTCAGGAGAATGTCTGCCCTATAACCATGAATAGCTAAGTTTCATCCCTAGACCCCAAACGTTTAAAAACTTGGTTCCTAAGGGATGACAACTGAGGAAAAGGTAGTCTCCGTGTGCATGTAAAGGTGTATTTGTCCTCGACGAGCCTCTCCCTTGGTTCTGTGCTAGGTGATGCTTCATTGCTTGGCTCTCACTATTTGTTTAACTGTTGCAGATCCCTTTAAAACTGAGAAAGAAAGGATTTTTTCAACCAGAAAAACCCATCATTCTAAGAGCTGTATTAAAAGAAGGAACCACAAGTGGAGTTGACATAAAGCTGATTATGATGCTGTGTCCCATGACACAAGAAGTCAAATGATTTTGTGAAGAAAATGCAGAAATGAAGATGGGATTGATTCTTTTCATGAATGAGGGACTCTGGGCACTCATCAACCTAATCTCCTGATTTAGCCACAGAAGCTCAAAAATCACTCACTTCTCAAAATAGACAAAAGAAAGAGTATTTGCGTGTGTGTGTGTGTGTGTGTGTGTGTGTGTGTGTTTATTTTGTTTGTTTCCCTTTTGGGTTTGGTTGCATTCATTTGGCTAGTTGGTTGTCTTTAAAACAGTGCCATATGTCAGTGAGAGCACAGGGACCCCAGTTGTAAAGCTGGGGAACCAGCATTGGACTGAACCAAGCCTCTGAATGTGGGAGCCAGTTAGGAAGCCTGGGCAGTCTATGGGACCTCAGACAGTGAGACCAGTATTTATCCCTAGTGCACAAATGAACTAAGGGAGCCCATTTCCTATGGAGGGATAATATTGCAGCCCAGATACACGGAGGAGGACCTAGGCCCTCCCCCAATTGATGATCCCCTATGGAACGCCTCACTGTCCTTGGGGAGTAGGTGCAGGGGTGAGTTTGGGAGGTTGATAGGGGAGGATGGGAGGGAGAGGGAACAGAGTGATTGATATGTAAAATGATTGCTTATAAAAAAAAAGGAAAAAACAGTGTTGTATATATCCCAGGCTGGCTCAAACTCACTACATAGCAGTGGATATCCTGGAAACCCTTATACCACCTCCCAAGTACTGAGATTATCATCCTGCACTACCATACCCAGCTAAACTGTTACCTCCCAAAGGAATAGACGGCTGTATTCATTAGATAACAGTGCTGCTCTTATCTGGATATTTTTGCACAATTGGGATTTATGGACTGAGGACACGCCTACGTGGAAAAAGCACACACTATACAAATGTAAGAGCTAGAATTCAGAGCCCCAAAATGAAATTAAAAGATGAGTAGGCATGATGGCCACCCGTAAACCCAACACTGAAAAGGTAGGGACGTTTTGGGCGAACTGACTGAATAAACCAGTCAGTTTTTCACCTCGTTGTCTCTATTCATCTCTTTAATCATCACATACAGATTGATGGTTCAGCCTACGCTGTTGAGATTCTTAGAGCCCAGACTTTAGCGCTAACAATGCTATCAGATCAATAGCAAAATCATATTCATTTCTAAGTCTATTGCTCTCTTCACTGCTATCTAAAATTGAACTTTGACTTGCTAGGAAAAGTACATAGGTACTGCTTAGTCTGTGTATTTCAAACCCTGTGTGATTAGGTTTGCTTCAAACGTCTCCTCATCTCAGGCTAATAGCTTCCAGCTGTAAATCACCTCAGCTCTCCATCCAGCTGTGAGTCATCAGTGTACTCTAAGTATTTATAGAAAGCTGTTAAGACATGCAGTAAATGATTCAATAAATGTGGATAAGGATGAGTGTGGAGGCTATCAGGATGTATTTCCAGCACACAACGTCTGCCTTTACATCTGCAGCTATTCTTTTTTATCATTTTTTATTTTAATTTTAAATAGCTTGTTTTACATGTCAATCCCAGTTCCCTCCCCCTCCCCTCCTCCCCTCCTCCCGTACTTCCCTTCCCCCCCACCCTCCCACCCTATTGCCAATCCCTTCCACATAGGGGATATCTAGAGTCTGTCATTTCACTCTGGGTAGGGTCCAGGCACTCCCCTAAGAGTCCAGGCTGAGAGAGCATCCCTCTTTGTGCTATAGGCACACGAAGACTGTTTGTATTCCAGGGATAGACACTGATCCACAGCTCAGGGCCCCATAGGTTGCCCAGGCCTTCTCGCTGACGCTCACATTTGGGGGGTCCAGATCAGTTCCATGCTGGCCTCCCCGCTGTCGGTCTGGGGTTCAAGAGCTCTCCCCTGTTCAGATCAGCTGTCTCTGCTGGTTTTGCCAATTTGCTCATCACTCCTCTCTCTGTCACTGAGCTATTCTTAATGTTCACATCTCCTCAAGTGTAAAGCTATCATTCCAAATAGAACACAGTTCTGTTTTGTGGCCCTTTGAAGGCCAAGACTTTGCACTGGATTGGCCATAGTGCTGGCTGGGTTTTAGTCTCAAAAAATTACTAGACTATCCTACCCAGTTAGACTACAGGCATATAGGTGGGTAGAAGATCCTCTTGAGCGCATTAAGTTTTCAGAGTAAACTGTGTTTGTTCCAGAAGAGTTTTATGTGTGACTGGTGTGTGTGTGTGTGTGTGTGTGTGTGTGGGTGTGGGTGTGGGTGTGGGTGTGGGTGTGGGTGTGTAAGCACATATGTATGTATGGAAGCCAAAAATTAACATCAAGTGTCTTACTCAATAACCCTCCACCTCATTTTTTGAGACAGGGTCTCCCACTGGATCTGGAACTTGATGATTTGGGTACACTGACTAGTCAGCAAGCCCCAGGGAATCCTCCTGTCTCTGCCTTCTGACCTGGATACTCGGAGTTCTAACTCAGGCCCTCAAAGTTTTGTGAACAAGTCTTCTCCCTTGTCCTGGTTTTATACTTTTAAAGTGTAAAGTCATCAACAGTTAGGACACAGTAGTCTCTCTTTGTTTTCACATACTCTGTGTACTTTGGTTGGGATTTCAACACCACACCCTTTACAGTGACATAACTTGATTTGTCTCTGATGAGATGAGTTCAAGTATTAGTTCTAGAAGTCACAACATGTGATCTGCTGGGGGAGGAATCATAGCCAAGAAACTGTATCTCAACCAAACTTTTGTTGCAATCTGGAACCTCACTCTTTCTACACTGATCCTAGAGAGAGAATGTGATATTCTGTTAGTCTACCACAACAATCCTAATATTTAAAATACATGCTGTATTTATACTTTGATAATTCCATACACATGCATAATGGACATGTAGTTCATATACACAATGGAATACTATTCAACTGTAAAAAATGAAATTTGCAAGTAAATGGGTGGAACTAGAAAATAACTGGATGAGGTAACCCAGACCCAAAAAAACAAACACCATATGTTCTCACTCACCCACAGTTCATAGAAACTACACTGAAGGGACTCAGTGGTTGTAGTTATATGTTTATTCATTTATATGTGCATGTGTTTGTAGCAACAATGATTAAAGGAGACAGAGCCTTGAATTTGGAGGGAGGAAGAGAGGAGAAATTATATAATTGTGTTGAAAGAGAGAGAGAGAGCAATGAAAAAAGATTTAAAAAACAATAACAAACCCATCTCAGTCAAAACCTCATTTGAAGGGCCTTTCCTCACCAACCTCGTCGAAAAGAACTGCTTTATACCCTGGACAACTTTTATTATGTCAAGCACAAAATTATTTTCCCTCTCTACCTCCAAAGAACTTTATCAATTTTCATGCATGTTTTCATGGTGAAATCATAAGCTTGGATATTATCCATGTTTCCCAGTAGAGCACTTTGAAAGACATGGGAGGTCTAAAACTTTGGATAAAGTTGGTCATCTGCTTCTCCTTTTCATGTGAGCCTTTGGTGACCTCTTCATGACCCTGAGTTATTAATACAAGGAGCAAGTTTAAGTAGACTTCAGTCACCTTCTCAACATATTCAGATTGATATGTATGGAGCTGATGACCACACCAGCCAATATCTATCAGTCATCAGAGGCAGATTTCTAGTGTCGTCTTCTATCAGTCTCTACCTTATGTATTGAGGCATGGTCTCTTATTTGTATCCAGAATTTAGCCAACTCTGGCACTTACACTAGCCACTTGTCCTCAGGTCCCTCTCTGTCCGTCTCCCATGGGTTGCGTGTGTATCTGCCTGACACATCTCCCATGGGTTGCGTGTAGGCCACCGTATCTGCCTGACACATGTGCAGTGGGTCTGAATGCAGCCCTCACACTGCTCAGCAAGCACTTTGCGTTGAGCCATCGTCCCGGTCCCCAAATTAGGTAAATTCCTAAATAAAGGACATCCTTGTCTCTGCAAAGACGTCATGTCCCAGATCAACATACCTGGAATGACTGAAAGGACAGGTTCACCACAGACACTTTGGCCAGTGATCTATGACAGATGTCACCACAGACAACACACAGGATACACAGGACTCCAAAATAAAATGCAATAAAAATGATTCCAGCTCGTCTTGGAGAAAGGATTTTCAAAGAAAATATCCTCCCACTTTGTGGTGGATGTATGATTACACCATGGGTACACAGTAGGCTCTGGGAACTGATTTAGAAAATTCTGCCAGAACTTCTGCAGTTAGAGTCCTGACTTAAGTTCCTCGGTTTCCCCCACTCCCTCCCCTCATCTCCTTCCCAATTACAACTGGGTAAATCGTTTTTCTGAACCATATACTCACTGCCGTGATGTTCCATTCAGACCTCCCCACAGAAATGAAGCCAATCACTACAGGCAAAAAGGTTTTTACATTTTTGTTTGGGGAATTTAACATGTACATACAATACAATTCAAGCATATATAAACCCCTCTTTCTCCCTTCCAGCTCCTCCATGCCTCCCAGCCAAATTCATGCCTTATTTTATTTAATACCCCATTAACTCTGTTTAGTGTTGCCCATATGTGAATGTTGTGAAGCCATCTACTAGAGATAGAATCCTGCTGGGCGTTGGTGGTGCACGCCTTTAATCCCAGCACTCGGGAGGCAGAGGCAGGCGGATCTCTGTGAATTCGAGGCCACCTTGGTCTACAGAGCGAGTTCAAGGACAGCCTCCAAAACAATACAGAGAAACTCTGTCTCGAAAAAAACAAAAAAAAATAGATAGAATCCTAACATGTGGCCACATCTTCTAAAGACGTTGCCTAGATAACACCAACTGTCAGCAGCTGCTCTGTGTGGGAAGAGACCTGGAGACAACCTATGCCATCTGTGCCAGAATTTCCAGTGGTCTTTTCTGCAGGTAACCATATCTGAGATAGCCCTGTCATATACAGAAAACAGCATTTCTCAGAACTCCACCCATCGTCTACTTCCTGCACTCTTTCAGCCTCCCCTTCCACAGGACCAAGGAGGGATGTCCCATTTAGGGCTGAACCCAGTTTTGCATCTCTCCGTAGGCTGATGCCCACTTGAGGGGCTGGGGGACTTCTCCAACAAAGTACGTTCAGTGTCCTGAACAAACAATCAATACCATTTGTAGCATAAATGATGACCGTTTTT